CTCGTACAAAAGTGCGGCCGGCATTAAAAGGCCCAATGGACGTGCATTTTACGTGCAAGTGGTCCATATACCCACAAAATCCCTATTGAATGGGCGTCACTAATTGATAAATGGCTCTTCTGCGTGGCTGCGTTCAATATTTGGAAAGAGACGGAGATGCTGTGCGAAAGAGACGGCGCGTACAAGTCGAGCTGTGGCCTGAGGCCTGTTCATAGAAAATATTTACAATAATTGCAATTCGCATCTAAATAGAAGATAAGGAAACTGCGCTGCAGCTTCGAAAATAAAACACGTCAGCCCGAGGCTTACTTATATAGATGGAGAGCTAGAGAGAAAGAGAGAAAGAGAGGGAGATCGAACCACGTAGAAGAGTCCCGTGCATAATGCCTCGACTTGGGTCTTAGTCAACAGCCAAGATGGCTACCCCACAAACCATGGACTCCACTCATCCGGAAATAGTCTGGTCTGGCCGTGTGCAACTGCCGATAAATCCCAACGTAAGCAAGCACAACGCAAGCATGCTTCAGCGGATGACGTGTTCCAATGTGCGGGAACATGGCTACAGCTTTATCAACGCGTGAAGTGCTCCCTGATAAGATACAGAATTGAAGATTTTTCGAGAGTAGATCACTAATTAGTCAGTTGATCGGAATTGCTATATCATAAATTCCACTCCTATATATTTTTATAGAAGTAAAGAGCTGGCAAAATCGGACAGTAAATTAAGGTTTATTAGTTATATATGATAATATAATTACTTTATGTGCTTACCTTTTCAAACCGTTTGACACTTTTCCATACAACAAAGCTTTTAAATGAACACCTTACATTTATCCGACGTTTCCCATGGCAACTATACGATATAGTTGGTAAGACTTTGCTCGTATCCTATAGCTATAATAGGGCTTGTTTTTGAAGAGTCTAGTCAATATATAAAAAACCAACAAGTTTTTCATGCAATATCTCAATTTTTGACTACCATTTGAGCTATGTATATGATATAGAAGACCATTCTAGAAGTTTGTCGGTTATATTATGGGAGCATGATAATGCTCAAAATTACGATATTTTGCATAACTAAAAAGTTGTTGCTACAAGAACTTGATCCGATATATAGGTGGCTGCTATATATTATAATGTTCCAATACTCACGACTCCAAACTTTTATACAGCCTTAGAGCTGAGGTAATAGATTGAAAAGAAATAGAGAGACTGAAAAGTAAAAATAAACTCGGTTGTATAGATAGACTGATCCAGAATATATATATTTTACGACGTCGGGAATTCTTCTATTACGCATTACATATTTCTGGTCAAAAACTTGATAACCTCAGCTTGTGTTTTAAATAAACTGAATTGTATAAGTACCTAAAAGTCCCCTCTATAAACATTTAAAATTCTATTATAATACAATTAACTGATGCGCTTTAAAAATGTTTTATGCTCCATACAATTTTTCACAACTAGAGCTTATCTCCAAATATTTTTCCCACACTTAACACTTAAGTCAAGTACGAACAATTTAATAGACACTAAGATTTGTATTATTATTTGTGGAAAGTCTTTTATTCTTTGTGTACTCATTCGTTCTGGTTCGGGGAACTCTATAGTTCCTGTGTATATTATGTTTAGCGCTGCAAATTGTAATCAGAATCGAATACAAAGTACACCCCCAGCTCATTTGCTATCAGCGAGTCGCAAGCAAACAGCTGCAAATTGAGCCGACAGAAACCAAGTGCCAGACATCACATAAGCGTGCTTCTAAATATGCAAGCGACTTTATCTGCATGTTAAATATCAATCATGAAATACTGCGTATATTGTTGTCTTTGTTTATTTATTTATTTAGCTTGGTAACATAATTTAAAGATACATTTGTTCAAGCGAACGCTGCTTACTTAAACGTTATCACAAATGTGTGTGTGCGTGTGTATGGGTGTGTGTGTGTGTGTATGGGTGTGTAAATGGCAAATAAATCAAATTAAATAATAAGCGATTGTAAATCAGATGTTTCACGTTTTTGTTTTTTTTTTTTTTTGCTTTTGTAGCTGCTGCGCTTCGATTTATTTAACACAACTCGGATGACAATTGAAATTTACAGAACGCAGCGTGGGGTTTATTTTTTGGAATCTTTATAATACTAGAATATTAATTGTATTTTGAACAGAACGATGAGTGAATTTTGATAACAGCTATTTAGAGTTGTGGTGCAGAGGTGACTGCTTACTGCTTCTGCAGATACTCGTCGAACAGATAGACGGAGAGGGATGGCTCGCGCACGGTGACCAACTTGGACAGATCGTTGGCATAGCCAGACAATTTGCGCACAGACTCGGCCTGCTTGCCCAAGAAGTTCTCCTGCAGATAATGGGCCATCTCGGGATCGTGCTCGCGGTTCTGTGTGGTGCCGTGGGTGGCGCTGGTGTGCACGTGAATGGCGCCATTAGTCAGCTCCTTCTCGTTGTCCAGGGCACGTGCCAGCGACTCCAGCTCGTTGAGGTGCACCTCTGGTGGATGGGCAACACCCTTGTCATGGGCCTTGCTGAAGTCAATGGAGCCGCCGCGGCGAGTCACCTGCTTGATGAGCTCAATGGTATCGTCAAAGCCGCGATCGGAAAGACCCTGGTACAGCTTCTGGAAGCCTGGGCGGTTCATTTGGTACGAGTTGAAGTGGGTGGCCAAGAGCAAATACTCATAAGACTTCTTCAGCTGCAGATTAATGTAGTCCTGCAGCTTTGGCTCCAGATGGCTAATGGCGGCATAACGTGCATTACAGTTTGAGACACCACCTGTGATGGGTGCATACCAAAAGGTGACATTTAGCAAGAGTTTGGGAAGCATTAGCCTGGTTTGTTTGAGATAAGGAAGTATTTTGCTTACTTTCGTCTGAGAAAAAGGCCATGAGCGCTTGTTTATTTTTAAAATTATAAAATATTCAAAAGCAAGACACAGTTACAGTTAAAACCGGAACGAGTAATTACACACACATACATACACCCGTTCTCTTTCACTCTCTTTCATTCGTGCGCTCAGTCAATCTCTCTCTCTTTGGGATTTTGTGTGGAGTACTCACCGTTAGCAGTTTGTCCGCAAGCAGACTGCACGTCAACTTGGCAGGTTTGCTCTTGGGCCTGCGCAAGAGCACAGACGGTCGCAATCAAAGCGAATGCAATGAAATATTTCATTTTGTTTGTTTTTACTTTCTAGAATTAGAATAAACGAAATTTCACAATTAGACCTATTTGAATTTCAAAAATCTGTCAGTCTGCTTCTAGTTAATGCGATTTAAAGAAACAAAAAAGCAACGATACCAATGCGCCTTCTGCGTCGTAATTTCTTGAATATTCTTTGACTCTCGCGAGCGCACTTTTCAATTGCTTGTCCGTAATTTGTGTTTTTTTTCAATAACTTGAATATTTTCGTTTTGTATTTATTATGATCTTAGTGATTAGCTAACAATTGAACAGAGGCACTTACTTTAAAGTTTCGCGTTTAACTTAATTTTCAGTTTTACTGCTTTACTTTTACGTGTTGTTTCTTGTTGAAACTCAAATTGTGAACTGCTGTTTATAGCGTTGCGTTTGTCTCGTTTCTATGCCTCGGCAATGCCTCGCTCTGTGCGCCAGTGTGAGTGAGTGCGCGAGTGTGTGTGCGAGTATGAGAGTGTATGGGTATGCTGTTTTGCACTCGCCGGCTCTCCGTTGGGGATTTCGTTGTCAGTCAAAAATGGATCTGGCAATATGGCCGCGTCTCTGCTTGTTGTTGTTGCTATTGCCATTGCGGTTGTTTTTCTTTGTGACTCAGGCACTCTCAAGTTGTTTGTGCGCTCAGCGCGGCGCGTAGGGTTACCAACGTGTTCAAAGTTCTCACAATCAGTTTCCATATTTCATCAGCTAGAAAATGAATCAAGCGAATGTAATTAACTGTTTATTGAAATATAACTAGTTTAAGCCGGCATAAATAGTAATGCACATCACGCCCAAGGCTAACAGGATTAAAATGAAGATGTTTTTTCAATTTAATCAACATTTGCAAGCAATCAACAAACAATATTTTTCAATGCTTCTTAAAACTTATCAGTTGGGTTTTGGTATTAAATGTTTTGTTATCATTTCACAAAAGTCTTATCAGGCGTTCGGCATCATATATGACACTATGGTAACCCTTCAGGAGTGGCCATGTTGGCACTGATAGTCAATCAAAATCTTGATTGATCCCCTACCATACATGATTGTTTTAGCAGCTGTGCTCAAGTTAGGTATTAAGCCATCATTTTTTTCATATCAAACATGAGAACATGGCAACCCCTGACGTGTACCAGTCAAAATTAACACAAGCACAATTTGTATCAAAAGGGTCGCATCGGCTATACCCTGGACGATTACATTTTTATTTAGTAACAAGAAAGCGGTTCAACGCTATTAATAAAATTAAATGCGTTTAAAGCTAGCTTAATCCACTATCAGTATATTTAATAACATTACACAACATCCTCGTTGGAAAATTCTTTTACAATATGAGAGGTAAATTGGAATTTTATATTTAAAGCTTAGTATATTTAAAGCTTAGTCATTTGTCATATAATCTTCAATTACCACTCTGTGGTTTTACTGTACACATATGTATGTACATTTTATATACCCCATGTACGAGTAAATTTGTAAGGAAGAACAGCTGACTGGAGAGCCTCCGCTGCCATTCGGCGGCCATTATTATTAGGCATTGTTCAGCAACGACATATTATTAATATTAACAGAGGAGATTTTGTATTGAGGACGTGTGGAAGTAAGTGTGGTAAATTAAGTACGTCTATCAAACAACAACAAACTATGCGACGACATATTGGATTGATAAGAGCGCGCTGAAGCACACACACATAAACACAAACACATACAGCATACACGTATTGTGTAGGCACACACAGCGCTCTTTGTGAGCGAGAGCTACCAGCGACGAAGCGTTTAAAAGTGTTTTGCTCGGCACTGGCACAGACAGTTTGCATTCACATAGCGAAGGCGCGTTAAGCAGAAGAATTACGAAACGTTCAAGTACGTGAAAAGATTCAATTTGCCAGGGTATATTTTCATAAATCAGTATCGTAAGGTACCGGAAGAACCGAATAATCCAATAAGTCCAATTTGATAGAAAGAGCAAGCTTCGCCTTCTATGCCAGTGTGTGTAAAGGCAGCTTTGATAGACAATTGAGACGAGATAAAAGATCGACTCGAAAGTTCTCTATTTAACATTGGCAGTACAACCGAAACGGTTCATTTTCATTTGTGCATTTAGGCTGAGCACGTAAATTGATTGCATTGATTTATTAACTGAAAGTGATATATTTGTTCTGTGATTTTGTGTAAAGACATCAACAACAACAACCACAACAACAGCAGCAACCGAAGAACAAACATGGTGAAATTAATTGCGAGTATTTGCCTACTGGTCGTTCTGGCTGTGGTCAACCAGGCCCAGGCTGATAACCTACAATGTAAGTAATTTAAATCTAGATTAAGACATTCTTAAATTGTTAAATCAAAACGAAAATACCTTGTAAAAACCAATAAAATTCGACGCAATTCGCTTCGATGGCGACGCAGCGTTAGGCCAAACAAAGAGCAAGAGAGAGTGAGAGTCCAAGTAAGAGCATCAAGGCGTGCGCATACATGTCTAAGAGCACCTCTGGTCAGCTGTTCGCTTAGGTGCTCTCTTCATGGCATATTCTCAAATTTATAAAAATATAATACTAAATCAAGTCAATTAACTTTCGATTGCCGCGATTATTTTAACTTTGATGATTGTGTAACGGATTAGCTTAATTTACATATGTTGTATAATAGGTGAATTTGAATCTCAGCTCTCCACATAACGGCAACTGTGGATAACGAACCTCATAAACTCTCTTATCGACAAGTCCGTATTATGTTTTTGTTAAAACCTTTTGCACACGGCCTCGGCCTAAGCTCGGTTATGCTAGTGCGAGCGAGACGGATTAAGTTGAGTTAGAGTCGAAGCGCGAATTTTTGCACACGGCACACAACCAAAACAAATGCCGTTACTATGGCGACACTTGCGCACGTTACCACAAAGAGCGCAGAGAATAAAAAATAAAGAGAGGGAGAGAGAGAGAGTTTAAAATATAACTGCACTTTGGCTTTGCACACGCTCTTGTTAGTTCTAGAAACTTGAGTGTGCATTGCGTATGCAATGACCCATGCTGCTTATGTAATGACCGCTCTAATGACAACTCCTTGCTGCCCTTAGCGTCCACAGCTAAACAATCCAGTGTTGTGCAGGACTTGAAAAATCGAAAGTCGCAAACGCAAGATCCCAAGCAAGATTTTTTAAACTGTATGTCAAATATAGAAAACTCTTGTTAAATTATTCTAACTATCGATTATATACCGCATTATCTAAATGTTGATGTATTGGCTTGCAGGCAACATCAAGTCGAATGCTGTTTTCAAGGGATGGCCCGACATGAAGGATCCATGCATTAAGAGCATGCGCGACCAGATTCAGAAGGAGATTGAAGCCTCCACCCAGTACCTGGCCATGGCTTCCTACTTTTCAACCGACACCGTCAATCGTCCTGGCTTCGCCGAGCACTTCTTCAAGGCAGCCAGGGAGGAGCGCGAGCATGGCTCCAAGCTGGTGGAGTACCTGTCCATGCGTGGCCAGTTGACCGACACCGTTAACAACCTGATCAAAGTACCGGTTAGTATTCTTTGCAAATGCTTTTAAATCCTCCCCTTTCATTTAAATATATGTATATTTTAATGGCCCATTATAGTCTGTTAAGGTGACCAACTGGACAGGACTGTCGGCTTTGGAGGATGCTTTCAAGCTAGAAACCGAGGTGACCAAGTCTATTCGCGAGCTGATCAAGACCTGTGAGGGTACTTCCAAGAAGGCTGATGATAACGATTACCATCTGGTCGACTATCTGACTGGCGTCTATCTGGAGGAGCAGCTGACTGGCCAGCGCGATCTGGCTGGCAAGATCACCACACTGGAGAAGATGATGTCTTCCCACGGTCAATTGGGCGAGTTCCTGTTCGACAAGAACTTGTAAGGTGTCACGCCCCGGGAAATACCAATATCAACTCATTGTCTAGCATGCTATTCATAGTTTTTACTGTGCTCTTAAAAAACCCTTATTTAAAATTAACTGTAACTAGCCGCTGCAAAAAACCACCATCCCAACAAGTATTTTGTTATCTTCACATGTTTTTGCCAAATTTAGTTTATAATTAAATTACACTCAAACGTTAACAGCTCTTCTTTTTTGTTTCATAAAACTATTGGCCAAATAAATACAACATTCTGTTTGAAGTCGATTTCATTCCAAGGCACAGTCAAATCCACAAGTTCTTTTCTTATCAATCCCAACCGCTGGCCACTCTAGATAAAGGGCTTAAGAAAAGGCAGCGTCATATATTAATCAGCGCGTCTAAAAACGACAGACTAAATTGTGATTTATTTACAATATGTTATGTATAACTATTTCGTTATCGTCTCGAGTACACGTGCTCACAAGTTCATGCTATAGCTCTTCCGTGAGTTGTCTATAGTTGTTCGGGGAAGTTCGCAGTCAACAATTCATTTGAAATTAAATAATCCCATCTACATAGGGCATACATTTAGATATAAACAAGTACAATATATACATATAAATATTTTTCTGTCAATTAGTCAATAGAGCTATTAACTTAATAAACATTACGATCAAACTAAATTCAAATGTGTTTATTTTTAGTGTTTTCCTAATATTTGAATAATTTTTTTAATATAGATTTGAGAAAAAAAATGGGCAACTTTTAAGGCTATAAGGTAGGTAAATTTTGTTGATTTGGGAATTTCTCTTATCGGGTATACCAAATAAAGAATTTTCTAATTTTTTCTTAGTTTTACTGAGTTCTTGATTTATACCTATATCTAATCACTATAGATAAGATTTATTCCTTTTAAGTAGGTGGGCACATTGAAATTTTAGGGTTCTGGGTTAATCCTTATAACTACTCATTAAAAAAGGGATCCATTTACTTTCTATAATCGTTCCTAAAGTAAACGTCTGGGCGTCCGTCCGTATGAAAGTTTTTTTTTAATTTTCAATATATGTGTGTATATTCGTGAGTGTTAAGATTTTTTCCACGCCCAAAGTAGGCGGGAGAGCCGTAAAAATAGATAACCCGCATAGTTTCAAAGCAAAAGTAACCAAGTTTGCCGGGTAGACTAATATTGACTTCCTCTAAAGATCAGTTACGCCCCCCCCCCCCCCCCTCCCTTGCCTTTATATATCGTAAAAATCTATGTATATCCAAAAGTATAAATATTTATTTTCTGAATAAACTTAGCGGGTTGCTTTTTTTATGATATAGTTTAGCGTGTTTCGTTTACATAGAATTTTTCCAGCTAGCATTAGGTTGAAGAAGAAGATTTGTCTTTGGCTACAATTGAAGTGTTTTATGGTCACGTATTGTCTATACAGATGAAAATCTAATCTCTAAAATCACATTGTATATTCCATTTGAGAAAAAGTCCCATTGGCCTTATTGACCCTTTCATGTAGCCCAGAGAGCTGAGGCTAATCTGATTTGGAAACACAAAAAGCAAAGGGATAAAATGCATGGCGTGTGTGACAACCGGACATGGTTGGGTGGTGGAAGGGGGAGGGAGCATAAAGAATAATTCATAAGTCAGTTGTAAAAATGTCCTGCACTTGAGCAGACAACAAGACCAACCCACACCCAACCCCAATCGAAGCGAACCCCAACCCAGAGCCTGCGGCAAGTGGCTAATGTGTGTTCACCCTTTCGTAGTCCTTGTCGATGATGATTGACAGGACATGGCATGCATTGAATTATGATAAATTGTGGCAACTGTCAAATGGCGCTGATGATGTTTCTTATTTGTGTTTGGCCTTAGTTCTTCCCAGTCCCCCACCCTCTCCCCTTCCCAGGGTAGATGGTACGTGCAGGCGAGCGTGACCAATGCGCACGTCAATGGGTTGTCAATCCCCGAATGGGCTGCGCATTTTAAACAATTTTATAAGCTAATATTTGAACAGATGTACCATCAGATGTATTGGCCACTAAATGGGCGTGGGTTCTGCTTTAAAATTGCATCCATTTGGCTTTGTGGTTCGTCCGGCACAATGGGCCGCAAATTTGTTGCAAATATTTAAGCACAATTTGGCAACGGCTGGGGTCGGGGTTCAAAGTTCAGTCCGGCATACAAATGGACGCCGGACAATGGGCATACTATTAATCTTGGCCAACCACGACGAAAATTCGTTGATAGCAAACTTTTGGCATTGGACATTGGACATGCTTTCGGGCCTTCTCATCATATTTATTGCATTTTTTTTGCGGCTGCCCAAATTTGTGGTTTTTTCTTATATTTGTTGGTGTTTTTTTTTGCGAGTGATTTATTCTGTGATAAAAAACTTGTGCCGCTTATCACATTGACATTTGTTGTGCCTGTTGACAAATTTGCAACGGCCGACAGTCGCCAACCGCCCCGCCCCGCCCCGCTCCGCCCACCGTGCCACATACAGAGCACTCAATAGGCATGAAATGAAAATGCGGAAATGGGAAAATGCATTCGGTAGACAGCCGAAATCCTTTTTATTGCGCCCCTAACGCTGACTGACAATGTCTGCCCGTTTGATTTAGGGCGTCGAGCCTGGCACACTCGACGTGCCTGCCGCTTGCACCGCAGGACATCATTTGGCGTCGCTTTGGCAACACACTCGTAATTCATATCCTTGCAGTTGCTTTGTCTTCGTCTCTCATTTGGCTGCCGGCTAGTGAAAGCTAGCGACGCACTTTCTCGCCCCACCCCAACGCGGCCCCTCCCTGCGCTCTGTTTGCATTTCACACTATAAATCTTCGCAGGACTCGTGAGCTTTGACAGGCGTGGCGATGCCGTTAAGCAAGTCACTTAAAACCGGTTAGTTAAACTCTAGAAAGAGTTTTCATAGATTTGGTCTCTACTCATGGAATATTTTCAAATCGAAAATCCTAAGCTAAGTATGGAATGCACTTTTTAATAATATTATGCCCATCTTCAGATTTTATCACTGTTCACATTTTCGAGTTGTCACCTTACTTACAAAGTTTCTATAACTTATAGCATAAGCATTTATAATGGCAAGTTTTGTGCTTAGAAAATTAGAAATGTTCAGCCGCATTTATCATCCACGAAGGGCCTATTAGAAATTGATTTTAAAGCCGAAGAATAAACTTTAATAGAATCGTTTACCGCCATTTTACCAAAGTGTCGAATAGAATTTTTAAAATCTCTGAAACATGTATTTATTATTTTCTTTTGTAGGACTTGAATGTAAGTTTGAGGCCTATTGGACCAAACTTAAAGCTTTCCCCAAAACAACTTTCACCCGCACCGAGGAAGCTTTGATTTTGCGAAAAGTGTGAAACACGTCTCAAATGATTTTTCATATAAATCCTTGGAAATGAATTTGAGCGCGAAACGTCACCCACCAAATCTTAGACCCCCATTTCCACCAAGGAGGGATGGATTTTCCAAAAAATGGAAAACACCCCTCAAATGAATTTGAACAAAGATCTTTGAAAATGAGTTTGAGGACGATCGGATGGTAAGCTAAAAAGTTTTATACAAACGTTTTTCGCGATTTTTCCACACTTGCGGGCGGAATTTTCCGAAAACCCCGTTTTAAAGTGCACCTTCATCACATAAGGTAACTACAGTGAACATTTCAGCTCCCTAGCTCTAACGGTATGGGCTGTGCGTTGATCACCAATCAGTCAGTCAGTCAGTCAGTCAGGACAAACAGTTTTATACATAGAGATATAGAGATATTTATACAATCCTAAAATCCATATATTAACATATATTATATGCTTATACAATCCTAGAATCCATATATAAGCATATATTACAATCTAGTACTCATACCATGGACAGAGTTATATATCTAGGAGTTAAAAAAGAAACATATATATTTGTGTTTATTTTACAATTACTTTCCAATCGACTTTTGAAAACGACTAGACTTGCACGTAGTCGAAATAGAAAATACCAATCCATTTCGATTCCGAAAAGTTTGAACTTAATCCAAATCTAAGACGAACCGGATAATCGCATCCACTTAAATAGTCGTTAAATATGTGCCTTAAACACACGTATTCGGTATATTTCCCGTGAGTTGCGACTAATCAAATGATGTCGTCAAGTCTTTTGATTAAAACTCTGCAGACATGCTCCTGAACAAAGCCCCTGACCCCACCGCAAGCCGCAAAAGAAATGTGTGTCCACAATTTCAAAATTTCGCCATGGCATGCGGAATGCCAAAGCGTTATTGAAATGTCTTAGCAGCTGTCCAAACAATCCAAACACAACCCCAGCCCCGACCCCCCGTGTAACCCCTTCGGCTTTACGGGCGAGGCGTCTGCTGATTTAGCATATTGACTGCTGGCAAGGAGCAACTTATACAAGATTTATGCGTGCGCCGTACGCCAGGCGACAGCACAGATAAAAAGGATTCGTGGTGCGACCCTCGACCAGGACCAGTGCGAGTGCAATAAATTTGATTTGCATATTAGCACACCAGCAGCAGGACACGAACTGGAGGAGGAGGAGGAGGTGGAGGACCTCGGCCGGCAGCTATGCGAGCTGCTCCGAAGATGCTCGGCGTTTTGCACCCTCTGGCCAATGGCTACGTGGGAGCCATTAGGTAAAGGATTTCAAGCACGAAATCTTGCTTAAATTGGAAATAAATCATTAAAAATATGTGTATGCGCTAGGATGTGTGTATGTGTGTGTGTGTTGAATCCTTGCCCAGATCCTTTGTCCAGTTAAGTGGAAGGGGGAGCCTTGCAACAATTTCAAGCATTTGTGGCATGCATACGCTCAGCTTTTGTGGGGTGGTGGCTCATCTTGTAATTCCCTTTGATTTATAAAGATAACGTCACATTGTCATGTTTGGTTCGAGCCCCCAACCACGCCTACTTTGGGTGCTGGATCACAAACAAATATGACTTAAGCAAAAGTTTTCTAATTATGCATGCCCAGACTTATTGCGCCTTGGACACAGGCGAGTCGGGTCCTTGGGGAGAGCCGGCCCCACACTCCGCATTCCCTGACAGTTTTTAACTGACCATTCGAAGGCGAAAGTTTTGTGGCTCGCATTTTTGAGAGATAAAGTCGAGTGCCAGGCGGCACTTTGACTTGTGTTGTGTTTATGGGTCTCGCCACAGTTCAATGGCCACAAATGTGCAGCTAGGGATATGCCCCCAGAGTGCGATTCCATGGCTGAACTCCGGGGCCAAAGGCCAGGCAAATATAAAAGCTGATTTGCCTGCCCTGCCAAACCGAACTCCAACTGGAATCCGGAGTCGGGAGTCCGGAGTCGGGAGTCTGGAGTGCATTAAAAGCCAAAAGTGCAGCGTCAGGCTGAAGTGGGTTTAAATAGATTTTGTGTATGTGGAAATGCCCCGAATGCCGGAATGAGCGCCAGAGTGGATGATTGCTTGTCGCGTAGTTATGCGGTAGACATGGCTCGCTTTTGATTTAAGCGCATTGTTTGGGTTAAATATTTGCCATGCCGGCCACGCAGACAATTGCAGACATGCCACGTACCATGCCACAGCCACAGCCACAGCCACAGCTGCAGTCAACAGCCAACAGTCGACAGCCGAGAGCTAAGTACCCCACTCCTCATACAGCTCCTTGGTGCTTCTTGTTTGATTTCCG